GCTGTTTGAAGCAAATCCAGGCCTGGTCATCTTGGTTGGAAATGGTTAACCTTGGAGGACTTTTGAGCTTTGAAGGGGCAAGGTGAACTTTAGTTTCTCCAGTGAATGTCTACATGATAGTGGCAATTCATTCGCCTCTCATAATGCCTGACTCATAGGTTGGTTAAAAGATCAAGTAAAATAATGAATATTCTATACAAACTTCAGTGTTAATGTGAGTTATAAAGGTTACATTTAATCTACAGGAACATATATACATACACATATGTATATATGTATATACATATACATATATATAACACTTTATTTCAGTACTCAAAAGAGATTTTAATTCAAAGTTTAAAAAAATGATTACATGCATAATGTAAACAAAAGCAGAGTTAAGGGCCAGGAGAGAGTGAAAGAAATTAACTTTGAAGACTTGGAAAATTTGTTTCCTGACATTTTCTAAATATGCATTTAAGTTCTTAAATTATTTAAGTCTTAACCAATACTTAGGAGAGCTAAGTACATATACAGACAAATGTTAATATAAGGGATATTTAACTCTAGTTATTTTTAACTAAGTAGATCATAAAATAAACCTAATACCTCATTAGAGGCCGAGTTTTTGCGAAGCTATAAAAACTGAACTGTGGTTGATGGGGATGGATGTAATAGAATTTTGAAACACTTGGCCATCTATGAGTCAGTGCCTCCGGAATGTTGGAGAAGAAAGAATGGCAGTAATCAGCCCAAGAGGACAACATAGGCATGTGCTCTGTGGATTGCTCCAAGTCTATTTTAGCAAGCTCACGTGTCTCCACAATGAAAGATACTCTCCAATGGTCAAATGGCATCTGAATTGCATAGGGCTATTTTTCAAGTCTTTAAAATAATTCCAAATCCAACTAGACTCTCCAAAATCTTCAATAAAAGGAAGAGTTTTTCAACATTTAGAAAGGAACTTGGGAAAAGGCTATTTTGGGACCATAGTTTATCATTACAAACATTGTCATTATACATTTTATTATTATTAAATGAGGTATTCCATAAACATGTAGGACTCTGATTACTAAAAAAGCAGAAAATAGCACACAGACTATTTTGGAAGTTACTGTAAGACTGTTTTGTTTGGTGATTTGCCAGAAAGGTAAGACTCCATGGCAGGTAATACTCATGGCTGAAATTTATTCCATTAAAGGAACTAAACAAAAGTAGCAGGAAATAGATGTGCATCAGTGGAGTCCAGAGAGATCCAGCACATGCCTCTGATGTCCCTCCTCAAAGAGGCCACACAGAAGCTTTTCTCTCTGGCACATCTGGCATATATGAGGAATGTCGCTGCCCAGGGAAGTCCATTTGAGTCTCAGGATCCGAGGCCTTTATGGGGCCAGGTCACATAAGTATATTCTGTTGCACAACCAGCCAAAAACAAGATTCCTGCAATGGACACACAGGTGCACATCAGCACTCTTGAGAGTTGTGTGAAGCAGCCTGAGAAACCAGTACAGTCCAGGCTCAAGTGGGTATAACAAAATTAACAACCATTAACATAAAGAAGATTCCAGGGAGCATATAGCTAGGTGTTAGCCAAGGGTCAATGATGGTGCCTTTGGAAACATGTCAGGAATAAGCACGCAGCCCTGCCTGCTGTGGTAGCTCTTTCATCGGTGATATTCTGGAATGAACCAAAGGGAGCAAGCTTGCAAGATGGCATTGCCCCTACGAGCACATATTGTATTCTCCGCCACTCTGCCTTTCACAAAGTTTCTTCCTCAGCAAGATTGTCCTCCACTTCCTCTCCTGTCCTCATTTCCACATCCCACATGCCCTTCTAACTCCCAAGGAACTAGTTGACTACCTGGGGACCCAGGCCCACCCAGTAGCCATTGTTCATGCAGTCAGGACCAGCTACATAATTTGTAGGGTCTAGTGAAAAATGAAAATACTGGACTCATTGTTTGAAAATTATTAATAATTTCAAGAAAATTATTAATAATGACCTCAAAGCATTACAACCAAGGATGGATGAGGCCTGACCTAGAGCCCTATGGAACTACCCAGGTTGCACATCAATGAAGCCAGTTCTGGGTGCAATGATTATCTTCTGGAGATTTGCTTCTTCCAAGAGACAAAATCAATCAAAAGATGATTTGGTGAGCCTAGAATCAGACAAAGGAATTGGGTGTTGCCAAGCTGCTTTTGCTCCATGAACTTACATGCTGAGTTTTCTACTGGTGTATGTTAGACAGCTGAGGAGCAATGGAACAGACTCACCCTAAAGTCAGATCACTAATGAAGCTACTTAGCCTCCCAGGTTCCATTTCCTCCTCAATAAAACAAGAGTGATAGTGATACTGAGTTGATGCAATGTGAATGTTGAAAGAGATAATGTACATGAAGTCACTTTGTAAACTAAGGTACTGAGCAAATATTATTAGCTTTCTCTCTGGAGATATTCCATTCAGATAACAAACATTGGTTTATTATTTCCTCCTCCATGGGTAGTACTGGAGACTCATGGGCCAATACTTTTCTTTTCCAACTTTTTCTCCCAAACACTAATGCTTCTGTCACTGCAGCATAACATACCATCATATTATGTTTCCCCAAGTCACAGAATACAGTTACAGTTGATATTTCATGGGGAGACTGAAACATTCATAACATCCATGCTGAGTTCTCTCTATGGATGGCTAACCTTAATGTTTTGTTCCAATTCACTTCAAATTCAGAGAAGTCATTTTCAAAACTTGCCCTTATACTATGGGTCTGTCACACTATTTAATACCTGTAGTCACCTATGTACTAAATATATATTTAGCTCTTGTTAACCCTTCAGCTTCCTAATTACTATGTGCACATAAAGATCTTGAGAAATATTTTCTAAATGAATGAATTAGTGAATGAGTAAATGAGTAAATGAAAGGAACAGAAGGTCATAGCTACCAAAGAATTAAATGCTGTTTATGTCACCAACATGATTTCTTTGATGACAGAAATAATGTTTCTCCTAGTTGCTACCTAAAGACTTCAAGCTCATGGACATGCATGCCAGGTAGTTGCTGTACTGATCCCAGGAAAGATGCAGTCTTTCACTCAAGTGAGAGAGGCTGCCTGGGCTGAAATAGACCAGAATGGGGTGGCATGAGCCACGGATCAGCCCCACAGAGCACTCTTCCCTGGATGGGAACAGAGCCCCAGCCTGGGGGCACAGAGTCTGTTTCAATGTGGTCAAAGGGGTCCAGGGCCAGATCTGTGAGCCTGGGGTCCTTTTACTTCCTGACTTCCTCACTCCACATTTCCCCTTCCTCTTCCTTCCACTACATAACAACCCCTCGATCTGGGGCACTGCTGATCTATCCTAAACCAGATTCAAACCAGGAGTCATATCCAAGACTCTCCCAATCCCCACAGAACACTGAGGGGTTGAACTGATTCTCTTAGAAGCATAGCAAAGACCTGCATCCTGGGCTGTGAAAGACTAGGCTAGCTTCTGGAGGTGGCCTAAAGGAAAGAAAGAAATGGTTTTCATCCCCAAACCTGTATTTCCTATATATGTTTGGGCCAATGTATAACAAAGACTCAGTAAGTGTGTGCTGACAAGCTGAATAGAGTTCTTACGGTGGGCAACTCATGGAAGTGGAGACCTTCCATAGTTCAGAATGAGACTGATCTCTCTGATGAGTTGTTTTCCCTATTTGGAGACTACCCAAGAAATTCCAATAGAAGTGGAGTACTTGCTCTAAAAAGGGAAGTGTTCAATTTTTAATGTTGTGAAAGAAACAAGTGAATGACTCAGAGCATTCAGCCTTGAAGATGATTAAGAAACCCAAAATTATTATAGCACTAAGCCCTTAAATGAGGATTGAGAATCCTCTATTAAATCTTTGAGCAAGTTAAATTTCTCATTGCTTGTGCTCTTAGGGTCCCTAGAAGATAGGGTGAAAATAACGACAGCCAGGTTATTGCACTCTGACAGCACTCATAATTCTGGAATGATCTTCAGTCCCAGAGAATTCAAAATGAACTCAGTTAAGTGCTGGCTTAATTAAATAGAATAATAAGTCAAAATGTGTCACTTTAAAGGAGTTAGTGTTCCCTGGGGGTGATTTTGGTGAACTGAATTTTCAGCAGTTAGAATGAGATTTTCCTCCTTGTAAAGGAGTGGCTTTTTTCGCCTACACACTGAGGAAGCCTCTACTGTCAGAAAAGTATAGAAACATGATGTGTTAAAATGGAAAAATCAGTATGAACTTTTTGGCTTTCAATAATATTTTCTAGCTCTATCACAATTAAATTTGGTCCCACAGCAACAGTAGCACATCTAGTAACCACAATTTTTGATCCTTAATACTATTTCTACCAAAAGCAGACAGGCCTCCTGGAGGTACCTGATTCCATGTCTTGGGGCAAGAACAATCAGGATGGCTTGGAAACATCAAGTCTTGCCAAAATGCAAGAATGCCTTCAAGGATGCCAGAAACAGGGCTGAAGGGCAAAGCAGCTTGCTGGAAGGCCTTCCCTTGTGAAACAGCTTCAGCAAGCAACTCCGGTTCTTAACACAATTAGGATAAGCTGAATCTATGAAAGGTCATGAGTTTTGATACTCCTAAAGAAATTTAAGCGTAATTTATACAAAAGGCAAATTGTAGTACAAAAATGAGTAACCATAAGAGGCTATGTTTTATTTGTATTAATTTTAATAAAGAGAGTGTGTGTGTACATCTTGGACACCAAATGAGATGGTATATTTTTTCTTTACACATATTTATTGTAAGATAAATTCTAGCCAAAAAAGTAGGCGACAAGAGGCAACAAAGGGCCAGGCAGTTTATCTGAACACAATTCCTGGGCGATGTTCCCCAGTCTACTGAAATGGAGGCTGGGGAAGTCACGAGTAACCAGATAGGTGGGGAGTTTTTATAAGCACAGGGAGGGGAGGGGGAAGTGGACTGCGCCAGGGTTATGTGGGGAATTTTTTATTGGCGCAGGGTCGGGTGATGGACAGCCAGAGGTCTCCTCCTTCTGGATGGAGGGGGTTTGCATCTGGGGTTTGTCAGCATGTCATGGGACTGGAATCCAGGAAGAGCTGTCCGTTCCTTCCCCATATGGCACAGAGCTACTTGGTGCTGTCTCTGCTCCGCCTGCATTGTCCTCACTCTTCTCCCTCCAGTGCCTCCAGCCTTACATTTATAACATTAACAAAATTATACACAGCAGTAATAGTAGTGTAACTTTTTCGGGTACCCAGGCCCAATTCCAATGTGTATAAATATGTGGGAAGGGGTCTTCCCACACATACTTACACCACGCAATTCTTGAACACCAGCAGGGCATTGGAGAACTCAACTCAATTCTGATGCTATCTGCCCAGAGACAACACCAGATTCCAGGTTAAGGGCTCCATCCTAAGACTGTCCTCCAACCCCAATTCCAGACACGGGTCGCAAGTCCCAGGCACTTACTTGTGCTTCTGACCTACCAGCTATAGATTAGAGGTTCCCACGACCTCTCCATTAGGTTTGATTAATTTGCTAGAGCAGCTCACAGAACTCAGGAAAACACCTGTTTCATAAAGGATATCACAAAGGATACAAGTTAACAGCCAGATGAAGAGAGGCATAGGGCAAGGTCCCAAATAAAGGAGCTTCTATCCTCGTAGAGTTTGGGGCCTGGCTTGGTGGCACATGGAGGCATTCTGGATCCCCAAACATAGAAGCTCTCTCCTACCAAGAAGCAGGATCCAGCTGAGCAGAGAAAGAAGACCTCAGGGCAGAGAGAGTGAGAGCAAGCTCTTCTCACAGTTTTGTGAGGGCTTCATTGCATAGTCATGATTAACTAACTTATTGGCCATTGGCTGATTCAGCCTCCACCCCCTGCCCTTAGGTGAGGGTCAAAAGTCTCTCATTACCATGACAAAACACCTATTTCACCATTAAGACTCTGCAGTGTTTTCAGGAACTGTGAAGACAAATATACCTGGGAAATAAATATTTGGTCATAAGACTGACAAAATATGTATTTCTTATAACTCACTATATCACAGTGTGCCTTTTCCTTCATTAAACTTATGTCCATTGATAAAGCATGGATATATACATGCTTCTATCTGTCAGCAAAAATGGTGAATACAAGATTCTATGAAAACTAGAAGAATTTTAGACAAAGGAGGGGTAGGATTACTTATCCCTTGCTTGCGATCATACAAGGACAGGGAAGAAAGGAATTGAACATTGAATCACTGCACGGAGTCACACACAAGATTCAAAGGGTTCAACAGAGATAAAGGAGCCAATGTCCTAGAAGAGAGCTAGCTATGCGTCTTCTAGGTGAATTAAACCTCTAGGTGATCTTCCTAGGTATAAGGAAACACCAGTAAGGGATAAATATGGTTTTAATAATGGTAGCAGAAAAGGTGGGTGTATACAATGGAAAAATATGTATCTAACACTAGCCAAGCAGGACTTAAAAAAAAAAAAGAGTAAAACATTCTGAAGAAAGACGCAAAGTTGAAAAAACACTAAAACGTTTGCCAAAAACGATCTTAAAAAGTTTTGCTGAGCTGATTAACAGTGCTTGACACAAAACAAGAAGCTCAGTCCCGATGCTGCAGCACTCAGGTTTGCCTCAGCTCAACCCCTGTGCTCAGACCAAGGATTAGTTGATAAACCACACTTTATAAATGCTCTGATCTGGGGAAGATTCTGGGTCTCATAAGAATACTGCAATCCTGGGCAAGACTCCAAAGAACATTACAAAAAACCTTGGAAGATATCAGACTAAGGATAGCTCTACCACCTAAAAGGTATATAATTCCAGGGGGAAAATACAAGGGCAAAATACCTTTGAAACTGAAATCAGTCAAAGGGAGAAATAAAGTGGCAGAAACGCATTTATTTCTCACAAGCAGTCATAAACTTCTGCTTGCCAGAGTCTATCATGATCCGGCTGCAGAAGTAGGGCCCCCACCCAACCCTCTCCACTCCAGATATGCCCATGCTAGCCCTCATAATTACCTAATCGATATGCAGATTGACTTATTCTCTCCGCCCATTGGAAACACCTATTCATATGGAGATGTACTAACGCCTGGCGAGAGATATGGAAATATTGCGATTTTACACACAGCCCACGTCTCCAGAAATCTCACCTTACAATCTACTCGTTACCCATCTTCCAGAATGGCCCCTGTGTGAGAAAACTGGAGCACTGTAACCAGACTAATAACATATAACAGCAATAAAATCATGATAATCCTCAAGCCAGAGGATTCAATTAGGTTCAAAGTTCTATTCAGATTAAGTCCACAGCCCAGACCATTCCACAGGCTGTCAGAAGCTGAACAGGTAGGGGGTTCAGAGCAATCATCATGTGGGGGATGCAGCCCAGGGTGGGAACAGGCCACAGGGACTGTAGAACAAAATAACCTTAAGGGCAATAACACATGTTTTAATGACATCAGCATAAGCAAATCTAGTCTGTCAGGTAGGATGCATGCAAGAAAGTGGTCCTGTGACAGGCCAGTGGCAGGAATGGGATCTCGTCCTGGTCTAGTATACCAGGCTTTCAGCTCCCTTCCTGTGGGAGTTGCAGATGGGTCAGTAGATAGGGCGATGGGAGGTACATGTACTGGCCATAAAGATAAAACAAAACTTCCTCATAAGATGCTCTTACCTCCCGGATGTTTTGAGTACACTACTGTGATCTTGGGGGCCACTCTGCTGTTACTCCAGGAATATATAGGAGGCCAGCATCCAGACCTTTTCCCCAAAGTTCCAGAAGAGGTAGTCATCACCGGTCCATGTGTCAAAACGTACAGGGCCATGTTTGCCCAACAAAGTGTCCAGGGCTTAATGCAGTAGGGGCTGGCAGCAGGATGTTGCTCTGCTGGCCATATGCTGGCTTCCATAATTCCCCTTTGGTTTGCACATACAGTTGTATAGGAGAGGCAGCAATGTGTGCTAGCATATCCATAGGGCTCAAGGCTCCTTTTCAGGGCTTCTCATTCAAATGCTGTAGCAATGTCCATAAACAAACTGACCAGCCCTGTAGACTATTGGTGTGAGCTTCAGGCCAGATTTCAACAAATCATTGTACCTTTCTATCAAGCCTGCCCCAGTAGGGTTATATGATACATGGAATTTCCACTTTATTCCTCATTGCTGCACCCATCCTTGTAACGCATGTCTAGTAAAATAGGTGCCTTGATCACTCTCAATCACCTGTGGTTGGCCATAGGCTGCAAAGAGATGCTATAGGCCCCTCTTGGTGGTTTGCTGATCTGCATGACATGCAGGAAAGGCAACCAACAGGCCAGTAGCTGTGTGCATACAAGTCATGGCATACCAATATCCTACTGATATGGACAGAGGACCAATGTAGTCTTTCTGCCACCCAACAAGGGGTACTGGCCCCCATACTATTGTCCCCTATTGCTGTGAGACTTGGTGTAAGTTCCTCAGAGCACACGAGGCACTCCTTCTGGGCTCTGCTTACTTCCTCAAAGGTCAATGGCAAGCCCCACCGACAGGCGACAGCCCACATTGTCTTTTGCCCCCTGTGCAACAAACGCTAATGTAACCATTGGGCCACATCAGAGGTGGGCTTTCCTTCTAGCCCGTGCGCCTGGGCCAATGTGTCTGCTTCATCATTCCCTGGGGATGCCAAAGGCAAATGGCCAGTGACATGATATAAGGTAACTGTCTTAGTCTGACCAGAGGCCCATATGTCTTGCCACAACTCTAAGCCCTGAAGGAGCTGGTGACCAACCATCCAGTGGACATGGTGCCATGTCAGTAGCCCCAATAGCAGGCCCAGCTCTCAGTGCAGATAACTATAAGGGAGGGCCCCTGGGTGATCACAAGCCATATTGCCCACAACTCATCCCATTGGCTGCTCTTACCTTCTCCATCGTTCATCCATATTGTCTTAATCTTAGGAAGGAAAACCACAGTGCTCCACTTCAGGGACTGCCCATGCCTAGAGCTGTCTGTCTACCAAGGACCTTCAGGTATAGGGGTTTTCCCTCCTGACAAGGACTCTCAGCTACCAATGGATCAAAAGCAAGTTCTTCCTGCTTTCCACTGGTATATGTCACTGGCTCAATAAGCATTGGAGTTCTCCACTTAACAGGCTAGTGGAGAAGACACTATGCTGCTCATAATGCGCATTTGACCAGTGTAGGCATCTGTGCCATGCCAGTCCGTGGGACTAGGATGAAACATGTGCAGATGCTTTTACTGCTGCTAAGTGAGCGGTCAAGGCCATACAGGCCTGATGTAATGGACTCAATAAGGTCCTGTGAGCTAGATGTTCATGTAACTGAAGTTGGTTATAGGTCTTTGGCACTTGAATGGACACGTCAACCTATTGGATTCTGGTCACAACTACAGAAAGGAGCAGGGTTCTGGTACACCTTGATAGACAAGCAACTGGCTGCTGCATACCACACTTTGCTTGCAACGGAACCCATCACTGGAACTGCTCCAACCAAGGTAATAACCACCTATACCATGAGGCGGGTGCATGATGCCCTTTAGTACCAACCAGTATAAGGGCTTTAGAATTTGTGCCACGCGTAGGATAAACTCTCTACAGCAAGCCCAAAAGACCCCAAAACTCTTGTAATACTGCCCCAGTGGTAGGCATGGGGAAGCTGGGACCTTGTCTATGACTGCTTTAGGAATAACTTTAGTTTTACCTGACCAGACAACCCTCAAGAACTTTACAGACAAACCAGATTCATGAACCTTGGTGCTGTTCACAGCCCATTCTTTCTCCTGTAGATATTGCAGCAGTCTAGGAACTGCCCCTTCTAAATCATCAAGAGAATCAGACATGTGCATGATATCATCAATGTAGTGATACAGCAACACCATTTGCAGTTTCTTCCATGTGGCCAAGTCCTGGGCTACAGGTCCATGACAAATGTTGGGATTGTGGAAGTATCCCTGTGGAAGGACAGGGAATGTCCACTGCCAGCCTTCTCACATGAAGGCAAACTGTTCCTTACTTTCCTGTGCTAGGTCAATAGAGACAAAAACATTTGCAAGGTCCACAACTTAGTGATACACCCCTAGTTCATGACTGAGGGTGTCCATAGGGCTGCTCTAAGGGAAAGCTGCATGCAAAAGGGGTGTGACTTCTTTCAATTCCCTGTAATCCATGGTTCGACACTAGGAGTTGTCTGGCTTTTTCACTGGCCACACTGGGGAATTAAAAGGACTATGAGTGGGCTTTATGATGCCCACCCTCTCCAAGTCCTGTAGTTTCTCCAATTTCCTTGTGCCCCCCACGTAATTTATACTGCTTAGTATTTGTCACTTGCTGAGATACAAGCAGAGCTACAGGTGGGTGCTTAGCATGTCCCCTCAGAGCTACCTTTATCACACATATCTTCAATCTGAACTCACCTGCAGTGGTCTGTAACCACAGGCCCTGCAGGATATCTACCTCCAAAATATATTCAGAGATGGGAGAAACGTACACAGTATACTTTGAGGGTAAATGCCCTATCCCCAATGGGATTTGGGCTTTCTTCACTCCAATTGCCTTACCCCCATAGCCATCTATCACAGCATGGGTCTCAGGAAAATGCTCAGGGTTGCCAAAAATCAGAGAACATTCAGCACCTGGACACATTATACATTCAGAGAGATCAATGAATTTCTAATTCTACATATGGCCTCCAGTCCCCACCATATACCCCAAGGTGGGGAGATTGACCACATCTTCAGTTGAACCGTGATGCTCAGTCATTGTCTTGTAGGGGTGAGGGCCCAGGCAGAGCCTGAGTGCTGTTCC